GCTCTTGACAATGCATGAAGCACACCCAGAACAAATCCTACAAGACGTGAACATGAGATGCGCATCAGCAGACCGAGTCCAAAGATCTTCTAAACTTCATTTCTTATGCCTCAGAGGTCATGATCCTCAAAGAGAGAGCAATATGGGATGACTATGACTATGACTATGACCCGTGTGACTCGAATAAACACAGTGGTTACATCTCAGCATGTGGCATGGACATGGTTTTTGCTTCCTACAGTTTCTTCTGGTTACCTTCTGCTATGGTGAAATGGTTCAGTTCATCCATTTTCTCAGTCTCTGATGTTGTGGGTCACTCTCAGAAATTAAGTAAATTTGTTCTCTCCACTATTGTTCACTAACACATCGTCCTAGATGGCATGCTAAGATTTGCCATCAGGCTACAACTGAATGCCACATGGCAACACAGGCTCTCAGTTCACATGACATATGGTACAAACCTCTTCCGCTGTGATATCAACAACTGACATATGCTGACATATGCTCCATTTGATGGCCTTAAAACATGCATTAACCTCTTGTTATATTTAAACCAAACCTGTAGATAAGCAGCACCTTCTCTCAAGGCTCTTTTTGATTTCTTGTAGTTTTCAAATGATGTAATGATGGCAATGAGTTGCTCAAATGAATAGGACTGAAGGCACTGGGTTGTGTCTAAAGTGTTTTGACAGTCAGGCAAAACACTTTTGTGTGTGTGTGTGTGTGTGATGGACAGAGTGAGTGAGTGTTTTCCTTGAGTATGAGGTCAGTGTGCTGGCATTGTTCAGACAAACTGCAGCTCTCTTATCAGACTGCATAGCAGGCAATAAAACACCACTGTAAACAATAGAGCTTAATGCAGTTACACTGCACATTCCAACAGAAGCAGGCTTATTAAATCAACGCCATACAGCGTGGTATGTACTGCTTTTCTTGCATCATCTCATCGCATCTTCTCATATGGCATCTAATTTTTCATCTTAATTGACCTCTTTTAACATTAGTTTAATATTGCTAGAACAAATCCTACAAGACGTGAACATGAGATGCGCATCAGCAGACCGAGTCCAAAGATCTTCTAAACTTCATTTCTTATGCCTCAGAGGTCATGATCCTCAAAGAGAGAGCAATATGGGATGACTATGACTATGACTATGACCCGTGTGACTCGAATAAACACAGTGGTTACATCTCAGCATGTGGCATGGACATGGTTTTTGCTTCCTACAGTTTCTTCTGGTTACCTTCTGCTATGGTGAAATGGTTCAGTTCATCCATTTTCTCAGTCTCTGATGTTGTGGGTCACTCTCAGAAATTAAGTAAATTTGTTCTCTCCACTATTGTTCACTAACACATCGTCCTAGATGGCATGCTAAGATTTGCCATCAGGCTACAACTGAATGCCACATGGCAACACAGGCTCTCAGTTCACATGACATATGGTACAAACCTCTTCCGCTGTGATATCAACAACTGACATATGCTGACATATGCTCCATTTGATGGCCTTAAAACATGCATTAACCTCTTGTTATATTTAAACCAAACCTGTAGATAAGCAGCACCTTCTCTCAAGGCTCTTTTTGATTTCTTGTAGTTTTCAAATGATGTAATGATGGCAATGAGTTGCTCAAATGAATAGGACTGAAGGCACTGGGTTGTGTCTAAAGTGTTTTGACAGTCAGGCAAAACACTTTTGTGTGTGTGTGTGTGTGTGATGGACAGAGTGAGTGAGTGTTTTCCTTGAGTATGAGGTCAGTGTGCTGGCATTGTTCAGACAAACTGCAGCTCTCTTATCAGACTGCATAGCAGGCAATAAAACACCACTGTAAACAATAGAGCTTAATGCAGTTACACTGCACATTCCAACAGAAGCAGGCTTATTAAATCAACGCCATACAGCGTGGTATGTACTGCTTTTCTTGCATCATCTCATCGCATCTTCTCATATGGCATCTAATTTTTCATCTTAATTGACCTCTTTTAACATTAGTTTAATATTGCTATTCTCTCCTCTTCTTGGATCTTCTCGCATCATCTCACATATTTGCTTCTCGCATCTTACCTTCTCATCATTGTGCTGTCTTGTCGTCTCTTCTGGTCTCTTCTGATATCTTCTCGCACCTTCTCTTATTTAATTTTTCAATTTTAAGTCTCTTCACCTCTCATCTTGCCTCTTCTCATCTCCTCTAGTTTTGAATGTTCCCTTCTCCGTGTTCCGTCTTGTCATGCCTCTTCTCTTCTGGTCTCATCTCATATTGTCTTTTCTTTTCTCCTCCCTACTCTTCTCACAACTTAGGTTCTCTTTTTTAATTTCGTCTCTTCACTTCTCATCTTGCCTCTTCTCTTCCGATTGTCTCATCTTTTGCATATTCTCTCATCTCATTTTGATTAATCTCATCTCTTCTCATCTCCTCTCACCTCTTCTGGTTTTGAATGTTCCTTTCTCCACATTCCTTCTCGTTAAATCCCTTCTCTTCTGGTCTCATCTCATATTGTCTCATCTCACGTCTTACATTCTCTTCACTTCTCATTTCACTTCTTCTCTTATGATTTTGTCTCACTGTCACGTCTGTTCTCATCTCATCTTGTATTCTCTTCTCCTTTTGCATCTTCTCTTATTTAATTTCATATTGTCTCTTTTCATTTCATCTCTTCTCTTTTTGCATCTTCCCTTCTCATTTTGTCTATGGGTCTCGTCTCATCTTGTCTCACCTCTTCTCATTTCATTTTGTCTCTTCACTTCTCATCTAGCCTTTTCTCCTCTCATTTTGCATCATCTTCTCATGTCTCTCCTCTTTTTCCATATTCTTATTGCTTAATGTTTCATCTTGTGTCTCTTTTCTTCTGGTCCCATCTTCTCAAATCTTATTTTCTCTTCTCATTTTGTCTCTTCTCTTCTAATCTTGTCTCATCTCATCTCATTTCACCTCTTCTCTTTTTTTGCGTCTTACCTTCTGTTCTTGTTTCGTTTCATCTTGTTGTGTCTCTTCTCGTCTGGTCTTGTCCTTTCTCACCTTGTCTCTTCTGTTCTCGATAATCATGTACAACACAGAGTGGTATATGCAGATTATAAGTTAGTGGAGTCTCTAGCAAAGTTCATGAGCTAGAGAAAGAACAATTTACAAGAGTGCTGAGACCAGCACATTGGTTCTGGTCCAAACTCATGGTGATGGAGTGGTCAGCAGAGTTCTCCCACCCCTGCACACCCCTTATCCCACATCAGGTCAGAGGACACATACAGGATACATCACCCTGCTGAGGGTGTCTATAAACAGAAGCTGCAGGTAAGATACACTGTGAAAGTCACTCTTATGCAACACTGTAACACCCCAGCTGGGATCTCAGAGTGGCACCTTTCACACTTCTTCATGAGGACCTACACAGTCAATTTTGCAGTGTTAAATTAACTCTATAAGAGTTGAATTTAACACTCGGCCCGAGTGTATTTGGTCCCACTCAGAATTGGTGATAAATTGACTCTTGTCATAGTGTTACATTTTCAGAGTTAAATTAACTCTATTTTGATCATTTTGGGGAAAAAATGATAGAGAGCTAAACACACATAATCACTGCTCATGGTCTGGCGGACATATCAAATACAACATATTGACATGAAGACAGCACATGGACGAGTCTTCTGTTTCAAATGGAGCTTGGCCAATCACGTCACTCTGTGCCATGTGACAGATGACAACACGACTTAGCCCCGCCTACCCCCACAGAACCACCATCTGCCTACTCAGCATCCATATGCACACTGTGACACACCACTGAGAGTCACTTTTCCCCAGATTATTAGTTTTCCCTTGGTGTTTGTGTGTGTGGTTATGGCTGTGTCGGTGTGTGTGCGCTCCAAGAACATAGGCTGCCACTTTTCCTCTTAAAAACGACAGCTAGATCTCACCTCCACTCCTAATAATTTCACACATAGGGTAGCTCACTGACGACGCGTGCTTGTGGTGTTCGGCCAATCACAATGCACTGGGTCAGCTGGCCAATCAGAGCAGACTGCGCTTGTCAAAGGAAGGGGCTTTGTTGAAAACGACGTGTTTGAGAGAGGCGGGGCATAGAGGACCTGCACAAGATATTTACATTTTTTAACAAATGTATTTTTATTAATCCATTATCTAAAACAGAAGTCTATTATGCGTACCAAGGCTGCTGATCAAAATATAGAAAAAACAGTCATATTGTAAAATATTATTATAATTTAAAATAAATGTTTTCTATTTGAATATATTTTAAAATGTAATTTATTCCTGTGATGGCAAAGATCAATTTTAAGCAGTCATTACTCTAGTCTTCAGTGTCACGTGATTCTTCAGAAATCATTATACTATACTGATTTGGTGCTCAAGAAACATTTCTTATTGTTACCAATGTTGAAAACAGTTGTGCTGATTAATATTTTTATGGTAACTGTGATATATTTTTTCAGTATTCTTTGATGTATAGAAAGTGCAACAACATTTATTTGAAATAGAAATCTTTTATAAAAACTCAAAATTTTTTAACAACAGTTTATCTTTAAGGATATTTTAGGAAATTGTAACGCCACGCCAGCAGAGGGAGCCCTCGCCCGAGTACTGACTGGTACTACTCCCTCTGCTGCTTCTGTGATCACTTCCTGTCCACAGGCCTTTGAAGTGAAGTGACGTGACATGTGGCCAAGTATGGTGACCCATACTCGGAATTAGTGCTCTGCATTTATCCCATCCAAAGTGCACACACACAGCAGTGAACACACACACACACCGTGAACACACACCCGGAGCAGTGGGCAGCCATTTATGCTGTGGCGCCCGGGGAGCAGTTGGGGGTTCGGTGCCTTGCTCAAGGGCACCTCAGTCATGGTATTGAAGGTGGGAGAGAGCGCTGTACATTCACTCCTCCCACCTACAATCCCTGCCGGTACGAGACTCGAACCCGCAACCTTTGGGTTACGAGTCCGACTCTCTAACCATTAGGCCACGACTTCCCCCCTTTGCGAAGTATTGCCAGTTCCACTGCCTTACCGAGCGTTTCCATTGTCTTGTTTTGATTGCTACGTGTATGATTTATCGCCTGTTTCTCTGGATTTTGCCTTTTGGATTACCCTCGTGCTTGTTTGCTGGTTGGACTGATTTTGACTTCTTTGCCTGTGACCACGACTCTGATTTCTGCCCCACGTTTTGGATTGTTGAACAGTTTGCTCATTAAACTTCTGCAAATGGATTCTAACACAGCCTCGGCCTCACCCTCATTACAGAATACTTCACCACCATTGAATCCAGCGGAAGTCTCCCAGCTTCAAGCGGCTTCCGCTTATCAAAGCGAAATGCTCAAGGGTTACCACGAACAGCTCAACAAGCTTCAGTCTGCAAACGAGCATCTGACCCATTACATTCGATCGCTTCCTTCTCTTACACCACAGACGGTAAGACTTGCTATGCCTGAAAAATTTGATGGTTCAGCTGAGCAATGCCGGGGCTTTATTCGTCAAGTGGAGATATTTTTTTGCTAACCAGGAAGAACAGTTTTACTCAGATGAAAAAAAATGTGCTTTTCTGATGTCACTGCTTTCTGGTAAAGTGATCGATTGGGCTGCAGCAGTCTGGGAGACAGACCCTTTGTTGCGTACCTCCTATGATTACTTTGTCAAACAGTTACGAGATGTGTTTGAATATCCTGCTAGGGGCAAGGATATGTCTACACAACTGCTTCATATGTCTCAAGGCAACCGCACCGCTGCAGATTATGCTATCGAGTTTAGAACGCTTGCTGCTCAAAGTGGCTGGAACAACATCTCTTTAAAGGCTGTGTTCCGACAAAGCTTGAACATCGATCTACAGACTGAACTGGCTTGCAAGGGTGAGAACTGTTCATTTACTGAATATATAACTCTTGCTATTAAGATTGATAACCTCATGAGGAATGCTCCCAAGAGGAAAATCACAGGCCAGCGCTCCCACCACACACCAGCTCTGCCATGTTCCTCTACCCACGTCAATGCCTAGCCAGGAGCCCATGCAACTGGGTTTCTCGAGACTCACTGAAGAGGAGAGAACTCGACGACGTCAACTCAATCTGTGCTACTACTGCGGTGAAACAGGCCACCACAGCGTAGTATGCCCACACAAAGCCCGGAAGAACACCAAGATTACTACCCGGGTGAGTGTTGAACAATTTTCTCTTCTTCCTACCAAATCATTGACTTTTCCTGTTCGGCTAGCTACTGAAAGTACTTTCATTGATTTAACAGCGCAGATCGACTCTGGAGCTGCCCTGAATCTCATCCACAAGGACATCATTAACAAATTCAGCATTCCCACTCAACCCTGTGTGCTACCCATCAAGATCAGTGCTGTTAACAATACACCCATAGGAGATGGCATCAACCAGCAAACACAACCATGTCAACTCCATATTGGACTATTCCATCAAGAGGCCATCTCCTTCTACGTCATTGACTCTCCCAGACATGAAATTATCCTTGGCTACCCCTGTTTATCTGTTCACGACCCAATCTTTTCCTGGCATCATGGTGAGCTAACCCATTGGTCTAAATTCTGCCAAACCCATTGCATACACTCCGCCATAATCAAGCCCTGTTTGACGACAAGCATAGAAAGCCCAAACACTACTCAAACTACTAAGATTCCCTCCTGTTATGAGGAATTCAGTGAAGTTTTTAGTAAAATCAAGGCCACACAGTTACCACCTCACCGACCATGGGACTGCGCTATTGACTTGTTATCCAATGCCATGCCTCCTAAAAGCAAAGTCTACCCTCTGTCACGCAACGAGACTGAAGCCATGGAAGAGTACATAGAAGAAGCCATGAACTCTGGATTTATCCGTCCCGCCACTTCATTAGCTGCCGCAGGATTTTTCTTTGTGGAAAAGAAAGATGGAGGCTTACGGCCGTGCATAGACTACAGAGGTATAAATAATGTGACCGTCAAGTTCTGCTACCCCCTTCCACTGGTTCCTTCAGCACTGGAACAACTACGTGAGGCCAGGATCTATACAAAGCACGACCTCAGAAGCGCATACAACCTGATCAGGATTCGTGAAGGTGATGAATGGAAGACTGCCTTCCTCACTACTAGGGGGCACTATGAGTACTTGGTCATGCCGTATGAACTTGCTAATGCCCCAGCAGTCTTCCAGTCTTTTATCAATGACATTTTTAGAGATCTGCTGAACCACTGTGTAGTGGCATACATTGATGACATCTTAATTTACTCCAAGTCTGAACCTGAACACATCCAACATGTCAAGACAGTACTCTCCCACCAGCTGGATAACGAGCTATATATCAAGGCAGAGAAATGCGAATTTCATGTCAAGCAAATGTCCTTCCTTGGGTACAACATCAGTCATCAAGGTGTCTAGATGGATGACTCCAAGGTCAGAGCAGTCACAGACTGGCCTCAACCCACTACAGTAAAAGAACTTCAGAGATTTCTCGGCTTTGCAAACTTCTATAGACGCTTCATTCGTAACTACAGTCTGATTGCATCCCCCCTAACGTCACTGCTAAAAGGCAAACCATCAAAACTCAAATGGACTTAAGAAGCTACCCAAGCCTTCACCAAACTCAAGAACAGTTTTACCACATCCCCGATGAGTGGAGTGGAGGCACTGGCTTGAGGGAGCAGTCCATCCGTTCCAAGTCATCACAGACCGTAAAAACCTGGAATACATCAAGAGTGCCAAACGCCTGAATCCACGTCAAGCCCGTTGGTCTTTGTTCTTCACTCGTTTCCAGTTTACCGTCACCTACAGACCTGGCAGCAAGAACGGTAAGGCTGATGCTCTATCCAGACATCACGATCCTTCAACAGACAATATCACAATTGAATCTATTCTTCCACCATCTGTTATCATTGCTCCAGTACATTATGGAAGAGATCCAACAAGCCCATCAGTAAGAACCACCACCAGCAAACTGTCCCCCAAATAAACACTTTGTGCCTCAAGGTTTACGTCTCCGAGTCATGCAATGGGTTCACATCTCTCTGAGTTCAGGACATCCTGGAATTTCACGCACTCTCTGTCTATTACAGAACTCCTTCTGGTGGCCATCAATGACCAGAGATGTGGTAACCTATGTCAAGACTTGCCAAACTTGTGCTCAGTCCAAGACCCCAAGGAACTACCTTCTGGTCTCCTCCAACCGTTACCAATTCCTCAGCATCCTTGGTCTCACTTGTCCATAGACTTTGTCACAAACCTGCCACTCTCCAATGGTTTCACCACCATACTAGTAATTATTGATCGCTTAATTATTGATCGCTTCTCTAAAGCCTGTCATTTGATCCCTCTCAAAAGTCTCCCCACAGCCATGGAAACGGCTCAAGCCCTATTCCACCATGTTTTCAGAGTCTATGGTTTACCTGAGGATATTGTTTCTGACAGAGGAACCCAATTTACCTCTCAGGTTTGGAGAGCCTTCTGCAAGCAATTAGACATCAATGTAAGCCTCACATCTGGATACCATCCACAGTCAAATGGCCAAGTGGAAAGGTTGAACCAGGAGATTGGCAGGTATCTCAGAACTTATTGTAGTTGTGAACAGAACCGGTGGGCAGAATTCCTTCCATGGGCTGAGTATGCTCAAAACTCCCTAACTCATTCCTCCACTGGCATGACCCCTTTCCAATGCGTGTTGGGATACCAACCCCCCTTGTTCCCGTGGTCAGGTGAACCCTCATCTGTACCTGCAGTCGATGACTGGATCAGATGCAGTGAGAGGGTGTGGGACAGTGCCCATGTCCGTCTACAGAGAGCCGTCAGAACACAAGAGTTCCAGGCCAACAGACAACGTCGCCCACACCCTCCCTACCAACCAGGACAACGGGTCTGGCTTTCTACGAGGGAACTCAAGCTGCGGCTACCGAGCAGGAAGCTCAGCCCCAGGTATGTTGGCCCATTTAAAATAATCAAACAGATTAATGAGGTCACGTACCAGCTTGAGCTTCCTACTAATTACCGGATTTGTCCCTCCTTCCATGTCTCGCTCCTCAAACCGGTCCACCCGGATGCTGACCCCAATGCTGAGAACCAAGAGCCACCGCCACCGCTGGATATAGATGGATCACCAGCATACAAGGTGAACGAATTGCTGGACTCAAGACGTCGAGGGGGTCAGCTCTAATATCTGGTGGACTGGGAGGGCTATGGACCTGAGGAAAGATCATGGGTAGCCGCCCCTGACATCCTGGATCCATCACTTATCGAAGAGTTTCATCGAGCCAGACCCGATCGTCCAGCACCACGACCACGAGGACGTCCTCGTCGAGGACGCGTCGGCGCTCCTGGGGGGGGGGGGCTTCTGTA